TGTTCGAAAATGGTAAAGATCTAGGTTCATGGTGTACTATAGCAGGAAACCTCTGGGTCAGGTAGACTCTTATGTATTGATGGTGGATGGGAGTACAAATAGTACAACCTTTTGGAAGGTAATTTGGTGGTATTGATCCAAGTTACAGATACCAATAGCTGCTGGCCCTGTAGGGTTAAAACACTATATTGAAATTTTATTTTGTATATATCCTTAAATATATGGCTAATGATGCAATTACAAACTTCTTCATTGCAGTATTGTACATAATAGTAATAGGGTAGAACCATGCAAGGAGCCATCAATAGAGAACTGTTTAGAAAAAGAATGAGAAAGCTCTCTACTTACAAATACAGAAGGACTCCAAGTTGAGTTGTTAGCTGAAAACAAGAAGGTGCAGAATGGTGTGTAGTACACAACTTTCCATGGTAGAAGAGCATCTTTTAAAATGAAATTTAAAAATAAGAGACAGTACATACACTTGGAAAAAAAGTTAAACTTGAAAGCAAAATGTACAACTACCTTTATATTCAGTAATTCCCCTTTGGGGTAGTTTATCTAAAAGAAATAAAAACATATGTCTACTGAAGACTCAAAAATGTTCAAAAAAGCTTTTTTTAATAGTTAAAAATTAAAAATAACTGTGTGTCACCTAGAGGAAGACGAAGCAAATTGTGACATGGAATTCATCTCATGGTACATTACTCAACAGCAAAAATGAACCAGCAACTGATACAGGTAGCAAAGTGAACGGATTTCACAGATATTAAAATGACATGAAAGAAACTGGACACAAAAAACTGTATTCTATCTGCATGAATCCATTTGGAGATGTTCAAGTTAAAGCAAAACTAGGTTTAAAAACTCAAAATCATAGTTGTTGCTTGAAAGAAGATAGAGGATTTCCCAGGAGGGACCTTTTTCTGGGAGACAGAAATATTTTATACCGTGATTAGGGTAAGTGTTACCAGTTTTATCCAATTGTCAAAACAGTACAGCTAAAATTAATAATTTTAATTGTAAACTTTGCCTAAAATGGAATAGTTTTTTTTTTTTTTAAAGGCATGTGGGTGTATGGGTGAAAGTATAGAAAGTACAAGCTTGGCAAAATATTAATAATTGTTGAAGCTGACTAATAGGTCAACAAGTTTATTATGATATTATCCTCACTTTATATATATTTGAAATTTTCCATATTAAAAGTTAAAGTAAAAACTAATTTAATGACTGTGAGGATAGGGCTATTAGCCGAGGCCTGCCTCAGCTCTGTGAGATAAAACTTCAGTATTGACCAGTCAAGCTTACCTGATGAGTTTGTCATGCATTTTTGATTCTCGGACGTAATCTCAATATGCTGTGTTCTTCCTAGGTTACAACACTCTTTTTAACAAGGGTCTTCTGAAAATATATGTGAGTCTTGAAAAGGTTAAAACATTGGGTTGTTGAAAAAGGCATGATGCATTTTTGCATAGAAAAACATAGAAAAAAAGTCATGACTTTTCCAACAACTCAATATAGATACCTATATACAGTTAACAGAAAACATTATTTATAGCATTTGAGGGAAAAGCTTACAGTAATTGAAAAAAAAATAGCTTTGAAGACAAAAAAGTAGTGTAGTGAATCACTTAAAAACAACCTTTGAAGACTTAAAAAATACATAGGATATCACAACTGGAGGCCCTTCTCATGTCCATGAATGACTTGATAGGCTCAGGGATCCAGGAGCAAG